GGGATGGTTCACCTGTCTAGGACATGTAGCTCAGGGGTTACAGCAGGGAGAATCTTGGCTGTAAATCACTAAGAATACCTACGGATGACTCAGGGAAAGTTAAGTGGAGCTCCACATGTCGTGATGCAATACGAAAGCATTGCTGCTTTGAGCCGGAGTCTGCTCCCCCTTTACTCTGGGGTGAATCAAAAGGAACTCCACTGACATCAATCGACGTACTCCAGCGGAACGGGGCGCGAGTGAAAGACGAATCACACTTTGTGTCTAAAGCCCTGCTGGATTTGAGAGCCTTCGCTAAGAGATTAGGTAGCTTTGCTTGCTATCCTTAGCACCGCCGGCCCGATTAACCCTCAGAGCTGTGGTCAGCGGTTTTGAGGACAGTTTGATTGACAGCCTCTGCCGGCTATTGCTTTTCACTGCGTTGACCAGTGGGTTCTGGGGTGGTGGTTTTTTACAATCGCTTGGCTGTTTCGTTAATGAAAAGTCGCCTTGATCAAGGACCATGCGGCGATTTCGAGTGAGTACAGACACATGCTTTGAAGGTGCTTTGTGTTGTTTTTCTGCAAGGTTTTGTATCTGAGCTAAGGTGGCAATACGTTGTCTAGCCCAAACGTTTGATACAACCCCAGTCCGGCCCTACACCTTGGAATAAATGTTCCCACTGAGCTCCTTCTGAGACCAAGTTAAAATGTAAACCAAATTGAGACTTCCCTGGATTTGCTGGAAGGGTTTTTCATAGTCCGGGCCATTTCTCCATAGACAGACTTTCTCATGTACCACTTGCAGCACTGTGGATTATCTATCCTCCCATTTGCCACTCTATGGTCCATTTTTCGTTCCTTTTGCAATCTTCTGACATCCCTGGACAATTGCTTACCGGGACAAGTAATATAAGGACAGCATTTTATGTAATTGTAGCTCTTATTTTATGTGATTTAGCAGCTAGAAACAAGGCAAGTCAGCATAAAATACTGTCCTTATAATTGTAGCTCTTATTTTATATGATTTAGCAGCTAGAAACAAGGCAAGTCAGCCACATCTAACCAAACACATTTCCATGAACCACCTATAACTGCTTTGTGGACTATCAATTTGGAAAGATTTGGGTTTCCAGGTTCTCTGCAAAATAAGCCAATATCTGAAAGTGATGAGATTTAGGAGCTGAGGCAGAGGGACATAACTTTTCAACACCATTGAAATGCATGGGAATGGCAGCAGTTTCTGAAGAGTTAGACTGATGGATAGATCTTTACAGAAAGAAAAGAAAAATTGTCCTGCAACTGCAGACTTGATGCATATGTAAAAAAGCTGCAGCTCCTTGAAATCCGCGTCCGTAGGAAATAGCATTAAAGAGCTGATTAAAAATGTATCAAAGTAATAATCTTTCAAATGGTGCCAACATTCCTTTTTCCCCTCATTCTAGATCAACCCATCATTTACTGAAATGGTAGATTTAGTCTCCTATTAGTGTGCAGGCATTTAATGACAGCATAGCAGTAAAAATTAAAAAAAATAAAAAAAAATTACTGGAGATTCAAAAACTGTAAAATGGAGCAAATCACATTATTTATGGAGGTCCAAATGTTGCGCCCACAGAAGACATTTACAATATTGCTAGTGGTTTACCGGTAGCGGATTTGGGTGCCCGCTAAATAATTCAGAATTGAATAATTATTTTTCTTGACATTAGAACTAGCTGTGGCATGCTACACACAACTGTGTATGAGGTGAAGTTCTTAGAGATACATTTATCACCTTTGTAGGAAATGTTTTGTACAAGCAGTTTTGTATTTAAGAGTAATTTTTTAAAATGGCCTTAGAGCGCCAAGCAGGTAACGTGGAAGACAAAATGGGTGCTGGTCCTAGACACTATGCCTCACCTAGCTGAGATCAGGGTCTTTTTCTTTAGCCAACAATCTTTGCTGATCAGTTTCCCCTTGTTATCACCAGGAACGTGCAGTGCCTGTACCCATGCAAACATACTTAAAACTGTCTGAGATTGTGCCTGTAACTTTAGTGCTTTGTTGCCCATGAATGAATGGAAATATGGCAATTCCAAGTAGAATCTCCCTGGTCCGACATCCTTGGGACCTGAGCAGTCCTGGATCAGGGAATTTGCTGAACCCAGAGAGATCAATGCACCAGGAGCTCTGCTTTTCTTCCTTGGCCACCCTGCTGCCACCCCGGATTCTGCTGCCACCTGGGGGGTCTGCTTTTGCCCTGCGGTTCTGCTGCCACCTGGGGGAGAGGGCTCGGTGCTTCCCCCACTGGCTCCCACTACCACCCGAGGCTCCATGTTCCACCCGGTGGTTCTGTTGCTGCCAGGGGGCTCTCCCCAGCGGCCCTTTTCTTGGCCCCCTCATCTGGCAACACTCCTGCCCCCAGGGGGTCCTCCCAACAATGCTGGACCAGGGGTGTTGCCGGTCTAGGGAAGTCTGGATTATGGAGTTTCCACTGTGTTTGGATG